GAAATCTCTGCTGTGTTTGTTTAGCTTTGCATATAACACTGCTAGCATAAATTAAATTTATACTAGACTTTTAAGGGAAGGGGACTAGCATAAAATGTGCTGACATTATGTAAAATGCAGCCATGCTTATACTCTAGATTTGATACTGCAATTTTTTACAATTTACTATGGAACATTACATTGTAAAAAGTTTAGTCCAATTTTCCTCAGGATTATATCATCTTGGTGACCACTGGTTGCTCTGCAGATTGCAACCCTTGGAAAGAGTTACCACCACCAATTTTCTTTCCAAGAGAAGCAATTTCCAGACATTAAAAAAATAAAGCATAAGTTTCACATTCATTATTAAAGTCACTGCTTTGACAGTTTTTTATCGTATTAAAAAAACTCTAGTGACTTTGCATCTCTCTTGATACAGGTAGATTTGTGCTAGTTAATTTTAAAGAACGAGTGTAAAGCACCCATTTCTTTGGTGGAATGCTTTTCTCAAGGTCTCCTTAATGTTACATTTTTAGTTTATTTTCCATTTGGATTCATTTTAAAACAAAATTAAAATAATATTTAGCCTGGCTGCAATAGCCCAAACATTCTGGAAGTTGTGCAAAACCATAATTTTAAGAGCTTAGTGTGGAAGTATTTTAAGTGATGTGGTTAGATATATTGTCAATTTCAAATCAAAACAAGCTACAACTAGCATTTTCAGCCTTACCTGGATGCAGAAAGGATGAAAACTTCCCTTTATACAGAGTAAAGTACATTGGCGTGCAAATAGCTGTCAAGAAACTCCTGAGAACGACATTTTCCAAGGTATCTTACGAACCACAGCTATTTGTTTTCTGACCTGGGTGATAGCATTATCATTTCACAGCTATTTAAACATTTTTTTTTTTACTAGTCAGAAGGCAGTATATTAAGCAAAATAGTAGAAAACTACAAATCAATAATCAGAGAGGTAGCTGTGTTAGTCAGTATCCACAAAAACAATGAGGAGTCCAGTGGCACCTTAAAGACTAAGATTTATTTGGGCATAAGCTTTCGTGGGTAAAAACCCACTTTTTTAGATGTGGTTTTTACAAATCAAGACAATCTAATGTCACGCACAGAATTAGCAGATTGCCATAGAGCACACAGAACTGAGTGATATAATCACTCCATTCAAGTTTCACTTGTCATTTTTCAGGCAATTGGACCCCTTAGTAGGCTCCGAAGTTTAACAAGAAAAGTTAAGATTGAGAGTAACTGCCTAAGGTGGCTCCAAGATCTAGTGAGATTCTAACAGCACATTTCAAGCCCTGAGCAATTATTGAATACATAGAATATTTATGGCTAAGTGAACAGAAAACAGGCATTTATTTAATAGGTAGAAAAACAAGGCATCAGAATGAGTTCCTGGTCTGATGAATTTGGATATCAGATGATATCCCAAAAAGGCCTTATTTCCATCTGTGAATTTCAAGTTCACTTGATAGAGTGCTCCCGTTCTGTTCACTCTCTCTAAAGCATCTGTCACGTGGCACTGTCAGGGCTAGATGGACTGTTGCGCTGACCCACTATGGGCATTCTTATATTCGTATAAGTTAGTGTAATTATCAAATCTAGCATAAGAAAAAAAGTTGGTTTACTATACCAATTTAAATAAGGATTCAAAATAGAAAAAAGTATTTTGAAAAGGTTATATTTCAGCTGATACTCTAAAAACAGCACAAATGGTTCATAAGATACTATCAGCATCAGTAGAATAAAACATTGAAGAAATAATGGGTACTGGTAGATAGGATGCGGTAATAAAAATATAGACTCTAATATACATCTTCTAGATAGTCCTCAAATCTTATTACACTGCAGTCTGTATGCTACTTTCACAAGCTATCAGTTAATACTATGCATGAGTGAATACTGGCAAGTTAATAATCTGCTATTTTAGAGTCTACATTAATAACTTAAGAAGCTCTCCATTTACACATTATAACAAAGATCATCTGAGATACTGTATTACACCAATGAGATTAATTTTCCGCAAAACGGTCTTCAATAGTTTTATTTCTGAGGTATGTTAGAGTCTTCAAGTTTTATCAGCCTATTATAAAAGAGTACATTTGTGGTAAAGGATTAAAACTTTGCTGTTTTATAATCTATACTGGATATTACAACCATTTAGTGTACATCTATAATTTTGCTGTATTAACCACTTGTACATGCATATAGATTCATAGAATTTATGGCCAGAAGGGACAATTGTAATTTAAACTGACCTCTGGCAGAGCACAAGCCATTAAATTTCACCCAGTAATACCTGCATTAAGCCCATATCTTGTGACTGAGCTAGAATATATATTTTAGAAAAGTCTAAGTCAAGACTGGATGTCTTAAGTGATAATGAATTCACTATGTCCCTAAGTAAATTGTTCCAAAGGTCAAATACCTTATTGTTAATATTTGCACCTTATTTCTAGCCCAAATTTAACTCATTTCAGCTTCTAGACCTTGAATCTTGCATACAGAATATGCACATCTCACCAAGTTTATGAGTTGTGCACGGCATATGAATTTAGGGTAGTATATATACCTAGTGTTACTGCTGACGACTCTGTATTCTGCTACTAGGCTGAACTCTATTCTCTATATTCCAAGGCTGCTGCTAAACAGTGTCTCAAGTTCCAGATCAGAGTTTTATGCAACAATAGATGTTAATCATTTTCAAAACACTGACATTAATTTGCTCAGTTGGTGTTAAAATGGTCTGTGTGCGAAATTGCAAAGTATCGCTGAATTGCCATACTGGGAAGTTGTGTGGTTTGTAAGATAACAAAACTGCTATCATTAAAGGGCTAATATTTCCATTATGAGTTGCATTTGTGGAACCATTAATGACCTTCATAACAATTCACCCTGGGCTGAATCTTAGCCTTTGAGAGTTGAGCCCATGAGAACTTTTTGCTTAGTCACAATTCATCTGCTTCTTTTTTAGTTCCAGGAAGGTAAAACAGTTTGAGGGTCTGAGCTTTCACTAAATAAACTGACTCCACTAGACAAAATAAAATATGATAGGCAGTCAATCCCTACATTGGGCTAACTGTGTTATTTGCAGAATAGTTCCAAACCACTGAAGTATATTTCGTATGGGATAGCTAATTTTTCAAACGTTAAAAAACTTAACTACGCTTCAGTTTGGTTATTGGCAACTAACTATAGAGCTGCAATGACGTTCTGTCAAATGTTCAGTTCTACACATCTCCATTACATATTGTGTGAAATATCTATATGCCATATGCACGGTAGTAACCAGTGTCAGAGATCCCTTGAAGCAACGTGGAATGTATCTCCAGCATTCCATTAAGGGTTAATTTAAGATTGAAAAAGCTGAGGCATTCACGAAGAAACTTTAGCCTCAAGATAGCAATTTAACAGTGCATTTATGGTGTATGGTCACAAAGCCTTAGAAAGCATTAGGGCCCCTAACTCCTCCTGTTGCACTCAGGTATTGTAGCTCATGCTGTCTGAAATACCCCACCACACAGCAGTATCTAGGATATACCATAAGGGGAGTAAAGGACTACTAAGTGACAGGCTTCCCCATAACATTGCCTTGCTCTGTCAGTTTAAGACAGAAACCAGAGATTGTTTTAATGCAATCTATTATCCATTTTACTTTATTTCTGCCAGCAGCTGATGTTTCCATGGGAATGCAGTCACCGTGCTGGGAAACAAAGCAAGAAGGAATCAATACTAGCCTCCAGGTGAAAGCACCCAGATTTTTAATCATATGTTAAATCTCCTGGAGTGTTTCCAGTGCTAACCCGTGTCAGTGCCACAGCCAGAGAGTTTTGAAGCCCTTAAACTAGTTACTGCAAAACCCACCACAGCAAGATTTTAAACTTAAGTTACTGCAAGAAACAAGAACCTGACACATAGGGCTTGATTAGCACAGAAGCAGGATCAGAGCGGCTATAACTTCGGAAAGGTTTCTCCCCCTCCCCTCCTGCAAACGTGAATCTGTGCTTGATTATTTAAGCTGTTAGGACTGAGCGGGCTCGGAGTCTGCACCGATATGAATCTGCAGGGAATCTCACCAAGAGCGCTCCTACAAGTACTCTCGAAACCTAAGTGTGTGTTACTTACAGTCTCTCTGCATTCCTGGGAATACCCCGCGGCACGGTTTTCAGTCCCAGCCCATGACAATCCACGTTGGAGGCAGAGCAGGTACATTTATTGGGGCATCCTCCAACAGGCATCCAAGCCACGGAGCTCCAGAAGCTCAGGATCACTCCCAGCCACAGGGATGCACGACTCCCACCGAGCAACATGGTCTCCGTATCCCTTCCCCAAAGGGTGCAAAAGGATGCAAGGGCAGGCAGTCCTCAGAGGTGGGAAACCCCAGCGGCAGAGAGTGCAAAGGGCTGCGAGGGGTTCTCAGCACAGCCCGAGAGAGCCCACCTCTCCCCGCATCTCCGCTCGCACTCCTGGAGTCCTTGGAGCACCTCCCAATCTTCCAGGGAGATCTGGGGGGAGGGTTATGTTCCGTGGTGCCTTTCAGCCTTTCAGGTTTCCCAGTGTTATCTAACCGGCACCAGCAGGCGAGGAGTTTAGCAGCGCTCCAGCCAGAGGAGTCCGCAGATGAAAGAGGAGCAGGGAGTTAAGGTAAACAGAGCTAACCATCCATCAGGGGTTTCGGCAAGCAGCCCCCACCCCACTCCGCATCGCCCAACCTGGCAGGGCAGGTAACCGCTGGGGGAGCCGATGGCGGAGATCTCAGAGCGCTCCAGCAGCCAGCTGCTCAGTCCCTGGCTCCTGCACCTTCGCCGCTCCCATGCCAGGCCAGCCTCGCTGGGGGGCACCGCTGTGTAGAACCGCGGGATCGGAAGGCACTGGACGCGGCTCCCGCGGCGGCCGCCTTCCCATTCACTGCGCGCAAGGCGGCCAGGCAGACACCAGAACCACGGGGGCCACTCCGCCCCCCTCTCCTCCCAAAATATCCAGGCCAGCTCTCATTGGCTGCCGAGCCCCTGACGTCGGCAAAGTTCTGAACTTTGGGGGGAAGAGAGGAGGTGGAAGTGTCGGACTTGGAGTGGCCCCGAGCCATGGCCATTGTCCCGTGCGCTCTGCCGGGCTCTGCGCGCGGGGCGGCACCAGGAGGGCGCGCTCTCTGCAGCAGAGCGCAGGGGGCAAAGGTAAGGGCTCTGCTGCGGCCCCCGCCGGTAGCACTACGGCTTGGGGTCCCCTCGCTGGGAGCGGCCCCGGATCGGGGTTCAGACAGGAACGTGCAGGCTGCAGCAGCGCCCCCAAACCGCCCGACGCTTTCGCGTCCTACCCAGCGGCCCCAACTTTCCCCCTCTCCAGGGGCAACTCACCGCCTCCTTTTGTTGCCTTCTGTTCTCTCTCTCGTGCTGCCCTCTGGTGGTGGGAGAGGCGCATAGCACCTTCTCGCTGCTCGCAGGGACGCCTGCGAGTGACAGGGAATTTGCTCCTCTGCTCAAAGTACGCCGCGTGCAGCAGTCGTGGGGTTCATTCCAGCCCCTGGAAAGGGAGATAGGACTGACCTGTCTGACCTATGGGACAGTGCTCCTCTACTGCTATCTACCGAGTGACTGTAGATAAATGTAATGCCAGTATTACAGCAATTTCACCTCTAAAAGGGGAAATAACTCACATTAAAGCAGAGGATTTCACAGTGTGGGGCCTGCCTCCCAAGGGGGTGGGGGTGGGGCCTGGGGGCTGTGAGCAGGTTTCAGGGACTCTGTCAAGCATGGCCCGCATTAGACTTGCTAGAGCCCAGACAGAAACCGAAGCCCTGCCACATAGTACTCCAGCCCAGGGCACTGAGCCCCACCAACTGGGCTGAAGACAAAGCCTGAGCCACTTAGCTTTGGGGAGCCCCCTTTGTATGGGGCCCCCGGCAATTGCCCTGCTTGTTATCCTAATGGCAGCTCTGGCTTTTATATACATAAAAACAGTTGTCCTGGTACAGCTGGGCTATGGAGTTTTTATAGCATGTTTCCGGGGGGCGGGTGGAGAGGGGGACTCAGAAAGAAAAAGGTTGAGTATTCCTGCTCTAAGACACCTCAGCCTCAACCTGCTAAAACTACATCCAGAAATGAATGGGCAGCGAGTGCACACTAGTGTAAAGGAGTGGCCTTTATACAGCTGCAGAAAGGGCAAGTGGATTCAAGTCATGCATATGAGGGATGTGAGCTATGTAAATGCCTAGAGGCAGGTAAGGGACTCAGGTGTCAGCACCTGAGCTGGCTGCTTTGTGTCCCCTCAGCCTGCCAAAGATCACAGAAAGTTGCCTTTGAGAAAGAAAGTGTTCCGGCAGCTCTACAGCACTTATCTCCTACTTCCCAGATCTGTACAGGAACACAGGTGAGGGCAGAGCAGAGCGCACGGTTCTCTGCTTGAACCTCAACTGGCCTCTCCACGAGGTCACCACAACATACTTTTAACCTACTTCAACAACAGTAGATGGCAGCAGCACAACTCCTCCCTTTGTTTGTCTCCTGTAGGACCAAGATCAGCACTAGTTACTGCCATGTGTCACCTGCAGAGTCCTGATTACCCACCTCTTTTCCATGTTTGCTTGCAATGTCAAAAGCTCAGCTGCAGTTTTGTCAGTGACACTCATCTGTATCTCTCCTCCCATGCAAGCCCCAGCACTGGTAAAGTGACAGTCTACAGGAGATTAGCTCCCTGATGAACAACAGCTGTCTCAAATGCAACCCAGGCAGGATTAATGAGAAAAGTGCTCTGAATAACCAGCCAAAATGCTGTTTCCTCCTCACCAATAAGAGCATAGAGCCTCCATTGGTCAAAGTGGTGTGAATTCTCAGGTTCCTGGTTGACTCATCACTGTGCTTGGATGACCAGACAGCACTATCTCAGAATGCCTTTTCACCTCCAGTTGACTAACAAACTTGACCCATTCTTTCCAGATGAGGACCTGGCCACAGAGAAGTTTTCACAGATCACCATCAAATAGGATTACCATATTCACTGTATCTGACACTGAATATATAAATCCAAAGGCCAATACCAGTGTGGCTGCTTTCCATCTTCATGATTTAATCTATTGTGAGCATAACTCCATATGCCAATTGCTTCTATTGACCTCCAATCTCCTTCCAACAGCAGTGCAAGGGTTTTGATCCTAATCTTGAAAGCTATTAGTGGATAAAGCCCCATCTCCAGTAAAAAGCCAAAATTAGGGCAGGGGACTTTAGATGAATTCAGGAGCTGATCACCTTCAGGAAATGCTTCCTCCAATAAATACTTTCCACCTTATCAATTACAACATTAACATCCTTCTATACTCTTCAACCCTCTCCCCCAAAACAAACAAACCACCAAAATTAACTCCACAAACCACCAAAATAAATAAAAAACGCACAACAGGTCTAAGTAAACCAAAAGAGATGGCTAACAGACAACTGAACCAAAACCCAACTGTTTCTACTCCCAATATAGTTTAAAGAGACACACTCCATCAAAGCCACCAAGAACAGTTACTTTAATTGGGAAGTATTCAGGTACTGTGGGTGACAGTATTAAGCACTACCGTAGTAGTGCTGCACTCTGTTATTTGTGGAGTCATTATTTCTTTTCTCAAATTTTGGGACACTTGAGCAGATTGCAAAAGGTTGGAAAAAGTATCAATTTCAAGAATTTTAGTACTCTAGTGCGGAGGAAGTGAAGACTTTACCCAGCTGGACTTTTTACTATTGTCAATTGCTAGGAACTGAAAGAAAGGCATAGACCTTCTATGTGGTTCATCTTGTTTAGTATCCGATGTGACAGTGGCCAGGATCACATGCATCAGAAGAAACTGTGAGACACTATACCCTTGTGGCATAATATGGCCAGAAGGGAAGTTTCTTCCTACAGTGGTTGGCATTTCAATAAGGAAAAGTAGACACACATTTTAAGTGAATTCTTTGAAACGCCTGCAGGCTGGAAAGCGCTCATCTAAAAACACGTGGTGTCTAGTACAACAGAATCATGATCCTTGATTGGGGACTCTAGGTGCTACTGCAACAGGAAAAACAATTAGTTTACCCACTTTAGGAACAGCCGTTGCATAAAGATGGGGATGGACTGAACAAACATCTCTCTCCATGATTTTATCTACTTATTGATTTCAGTTTTGACTTATCTTCCCTTTCTGGATACTTTTGGATTTTCTTTATCTTTATAAAAGTATTAAAGTATAAAAGGTCTAAGTTCCAGAGGGGGCATAAATATACTCTGATCTTAACAACTCAGCCAACATGCTTTGCATTATGCTCTGAAATTAAAAGTTCATCAGACTCTGGCCAGTGGGGGAAAGGGAGTTTAAAGTATGAGTTCGTTGGAGAGAAGGAATGTAGCTAGCAGTTAGGAATTTGTTAACAGGCTGGCCAATACATTTCTTCCCCCTTCCCCCATCATCTTTAAAGTTAGACGAGCTGTTATACTCATTATGATCACTAACAGTAGGTGCAGGTACAGTGGATTTACTGTATGAGTCTAGCAGAATGAATAAAGAGCTTGTTGATTAAGCTGAAACCACTGGCAGCGTGTCAAAAGAAATATTGCCCAAGTTAATTAAAATTTGTAGGCCTTGTCAAAGATGGCATATACCTGCCTACACCTATGGCAAAGCAGCATCAGTGGCTGTTAGTGTTATGTACAGCGGAAATGTTGGTCCACAAGTTATTAGAACCTATGCCTATCTGGCCTTTATTTGCTTTTCACAAATGTTTGTACAATTTAATTTATTTTTAGTTGAAATAAAAAAGTAAATTTGGAGCCATAGCCAAGGTAAGGTGAGTAGAGTAACATTTAGGTCTAAATGAGCAACAGTTACTAGACATGGCAGAAAGTAACGTGTAGTTGAAGTTCTTCGCGCCAGCAATGGTCTTATGTATTTGTTTACATCTTGCGCAATGGGGCAGTGAACTTCGCTGAGGCCTCTCAGCAATATTGTATCGCCAGCAGCAGTCATTTTTCTCTCCACTAGAGAATGGAACTGCCAAGAGACTTAAGGTGATAGCTCCACTTGCACCCCATTATTAGGTGCTGTGTAAACTTAGAACTCTCTACTGGCAGCAGGAGAATCCACCTTTCTAAGGACCTCATCCTGCAGCTTGCATGCCTGGGTGGAGCCAAGGCCCATGGATCAGAGTGGGGCTCACATGGACGAGGTTGCAGGATCCAAGCTCTAAGTTTGCAGGACTGTCCCACTTTGACCCCCAACACCCCCACATCCCAGTTGAAATAGAGCATTTCTTGCATTAACTTGGCTACCTTAAATTAGAACCAATTACTACGGGTGAACAAAAATACAATTAAAATTGAACATGCAAGTATAGCCACAAAGTTGTATTTCATTTGTTCTGTAAAGTCACAACTCTGTATTGTTCTTTTTTAAAAAAACTTCCACATTCCTTGTGTTAATAAAAACCACGTACGCACTTTGACCATCCTGTTGAGAAGTAGTCACACGATTTGAAATTTGAGGAGAAAGCAGCAACAACCAGCAGCAATATGAGGGTGTTAAAACGAGTGAACTGTAGGGATAGAGCTACTGTATTGGCTGTGGAGTTTCAAATAATTAAAAATTAAACTTTAGTATAGGTTAGAAATTGCAAGATGACAAAAAGAACCTCAAACAGCAGCAGTGGCTAACAGACACTAATACTTCACCAAAGGGGGAAAAAATGAAAAGTCTTTAAAAACTCTTGGGAGGCACAGCACCATTTTCTACAAAAAATCAAGATAAGAATTAACATTTGCTTTTGGGGTATATTGCAGAACTGATTTTTCTGTTTGGTGAATACAAGGATATTTCAAGACATATCATTATAGAGAAACATGCGCCCTGTGCCGATGCTGCGACACAGTCAGAATCATTGTCCGTTTTCCCCATTTCCCCCCTGCCCCTTGCTGGGCCAAAAATGAACGATAGTATAACCAGAGCTGAAGTTTTATTTACAGGATTTCTTTTGGAGCATAACATCCCTCTTGTAACCATGTTAGACTTTTATTCAAGAAAATGTTCCCAGACTCCAAAATTGCCAAAAGCTATGCGTGTGCTTCCACAAAAATGTCCCACATTATACAAAGGGCAATCACACTTCAAGAATTTGAAAGTGTACAGAGTGTGATTGAAGGTCATGACTGATATTTTGGATTGGCATTGGACGCTAGTTCTGATAAGCTTGTGTTTTCTAATCTTGGTTACATATGAACACCCAGAAACTGACTTTACAGTTACTGAGCTTTTAGATATGGATTCTTGCACATTGAATAACTCTCAGGAATTGTTTGATGCAATCCAGAATGTGCTATCAAAATACCATGTCGACAGGAATGAATATGCTATGTATTCAGCAGACAATGCTGCAAAGATGCTGTGTAAGCACAACCGGCTCAAATGAAAGCCAAGCAAATAAACTAAGGAGCATATGCAGTGGGGTGCTGCCACCTTGTTCGCTTAATGGCAGAGCATGGGTTGAAATCACTGAAGAGGAATGTTGAGGATTTGATCATTGACTACAGCTTTCAGAAAAGTGTCAAAAAGAGTGGAATCACTGAAATGATTACATGATATATTGCTAGGGTTACCAGATAGCAACTGTGAAAAAATGGGATAGAGGGTGGGGGGGGGGGGTAAGTAGGTGCCTATAAAAGAAAAAGTCCCCAAAAATGGGACTGTCCCTTTAAAAATGGGACATCTGGTCACCCTACACGTTGCAGTAACAATGAGAAGAAAAGTGTGAAGCTTCTGAAAAAGTGCTGTCTGTCTTTGGAGAGATCTACTGAATGTATCTTGGCTACTTGGGATGGGCTGTATTTTCAGTTTGTCAGAACCTTTGATGGGGAAGAACAAAGAATACTGAGGAACTTAAAGAATCCTTTGAAGGTGTATTGTTTTAGCATGCAGTTTTGCCCACATTTAAAGAGTTCAACTGACTCCTCCAAACTGAAGCACTGATGACATTAATCTGTGCATCCAACAATGATGATGCTATGGTAAAATATTCTTTTGGAATTTGTGCAACCCTCCATGGTAGCTGTGAGTGAAGTGTTATGGAACTAAATTTACAAGGACTCTTCTGCGCAATAACCAGTATCTTAAGTGTTTGTGGGCTTTGAGATACGAAACTATGCAAGAAAACTTACATGATCAATACAAGACCACATAAAACATTCTTAGTTGAAGCTGTTCAATTTTTGGGAGCTGGGAGTGGGGGAGAAGCACTGCATTACATGAAAAAGGCAATGCTTTTAGAAGACTTTGTATATAGGACCCTGGCTTTTGATAAGCCCACCAGTTGTTTGTTAGCACCTTTCCATGATCTGCTTTCTGAATTTAAGGATTATCAACTCTTTTATACAATTCCTGAATATGACAGCATTGTGAGAACCAAGGAATTTTGGGATAAAATTTCAAATGAAAGACCTAGTAAATAGCCAGGCAAGATTCTCTTTGCTTTCAAAACCTGTAAAATGCATATGTTTAATCCCCCACAGCATAGCTTCATTTGAAAGTCTATTCAGCACAGTATGGAAAATAAACATGAGAAGTTCATTTGGGAGGAGAAAAAATCATACAATGTGTATGAAGAGGCAACAACGGTGAGGAATACAGTATGTGCTATACTGGCAGAAAAGTCAATACCTTTTCCCACATGAAGCATCGCCAGTGGCAGCCTTTAACTGGAGTTTGCAAAAGGCAAAATCTGCCACATATGCCTGTTTGTCAAGACAAAAGGAACACGCTGCAATGAAACAGAAGGAGCTTTTATATAGGCAAATACTTATTTTTTCTATGCAAAACAAACAGGTTTCAGATTTTTTTATTTTATTTTACTAACAGTCATTTCACAAATTGTCAGTGGTGAAGACAGATAAAGAAACATTTATTGGGCTTAGTCTTCCAGTAGTTTGAACATATTATAAGTGTCATACCAAATCTTCCCCATAAACATAATTACTGTATTTTGATTGTGTCCTGCTGAGACCACTTAAAATATTGAAAGGTGCAGTGACTGTGGCATGGGCAGTCAGGCCTAGTGGTTGGAGCAGAGGGTCAAAACCAAAGACAGCGGCAGGTGTCAGGCCAGGGTCAGAGCTGGAGACAACGTCAGGGTAAGGCAGAGGAGCAGGGGTGTGGAGTAGGGCAAGACAGCAGGGACTGGAGTAGAGGTGGTCTGGGATGGGAGGACAGGTACCAGGAGCAGGTTGGAACTCTGGGCTCAGGTAAGCAGGAGGGGTCCACAGTCGCAGCCAGCCAAGGATTCCTAGTTGCTCGGACAACTTCCTGGTTTATATAGTGCTCCTTAGCCAATACGGGAGGCTGGATGTTTCCCCCTTGGGAGTGTTGGGGGCGGGGTCCTCTGCAAGCTAGCCCTTCACTCAACCCTACTGTAATTAGTCAGATGAGCTGCTACGTGGCAGTTGTGGTCTGAGCAATGCTTGGGGACCTATAGGCCCAGGTTTGACACCTGTGATCTCTCACAGGAGGATTAAGACAACCTAGATCCAGTTTTCACCCAGACTGTCTGGTTTTTGGCTTCTGTGTCCAAGTGCCATTTAGGGTTTCCAGGTGCCTGTTTTTTGGGTACCTGGCAACCCTAAATGGCACCTGAACCAAAAGTCCCATTATTGTGGGGGGAGGGGGGGAGGTGCCGGGTCATTAACCCACACCAGCCTCTTCTCAGCCGGGGCTGCCTCCTGTAGGCAGGCTCCTTGAGATGATCCTGCAAGCAACAAGGGGAGTGGGTGGAAAGGGGAGAGGAGTGAGCAACAGGGGTAGGGCCTTGGAGGAATAGGCAGAGCAGGAGGTAGAGCCTCAGGGGTCCAGTTACCAGCAATTAAAAAGGTGGCAACCCCACCTAGATTTAATATGATAGACAGACAGGTCTCAACAACTGTGCCATGCTACATTTCTGCGGGTATGTCTACAGTACAGCGTCACTCAGAGCGCTGAAGGGAAATGGCTGTTGTGTGTTGACACTGTCAGCTGCCTGTGCAATAGCGAGTTCACGCTTGCATCGGTATTCGGAGTGGTGCACTCTGGGCAGCTATCCCACAGAGCATCTCTTCCTCTTCTGCCATTAAGAGTTGTGGGAAGGCAGAGGGGGTCGCGGGGCATCCTGGGTCCTGTCCCAATGCCCTGTGATGCATTGCTTCGCATCCCAGCAATCCCTGTGCTTCAAGCTGCAGTTGGCGCCATCTTTCAACAGTTTGTGTACTGCACGCCCTGCCTCTTTCAGGCTGCAAGAATGGATCCCAAAGCGTTGACCAATATGCTGCTCGCTCTCCCACAACACATCATGAGTGGCAATGGAGTTATTTCCTTAAACTACAAAGGCAAGAGGAGTTTGACATTGATCTCACCATGCATAGCAGCTACGCCACAAGATTACTTGGGGCATTCATGGAGGTGCTGACCACAATGGAACGCTGCTTTTGGGCTCGGGAAACAAGCACAGAGTGGTGGGATCACATAGTCATGCATGTGTGAAATAATGAGCAGTAGCTGCAGAATTTTTGGATAAGGAAAGCCAGTCATGGGACTGTGATGAACTGACCCCAGCCCTCCGGCGCAAGGACACAAGAATGAGAGCTGCGCTGTCACTGGAGAAGCATGTGGCGATTGCACTGTGGAAGCTGGCTACTCCAGACTGCTACCAATTGGTCGCTAACCAGTTCAGAGAGGGAAAGTCGACTGTTGGACGCATGTTGACAGAAGTGTGCAGGGCCCATTAATTTCATCCTGCTCTGAAAGACCGTGACTCTGGGCAATGTGCGTGACATTGTGAGGCTTTGCACAAATGGGCTTCCCTAACTGGGCGGGATGGGGGTGATAGATGGCATGCATATTACAATTCTGGCACCGGACCACCTAGCTGCCGAGTACATAAATCAGAAGGGGTATTTCTCAATGGTTCTCCAGGCGCTTGTAGATCACTGTGGGTGTTTCACGGACATTAATGCAGGCTGGTCTGGAAAGGTGCATGACACATGCATCTTTCGGAATACGGGCCTGCAAGCAGGGACCTTCTTCCAGGACCAGAAGATCATGTAGGGGGAAGTCGAAATGCCCATTGTGATACTGGGAGACCCTGCCTACCCCTTAATGCTGTGGCTTATGAAGCCATACACTGAGCAACTTGACAGCAGCAAAGAGCGGTTCAACAGGCTGAGCAAGTGCAGAATGACTGTTGAGTGTGCTTTTGGCCGTTTAAAGGCCCACTGGTGCTGCCTATATGGGAGGCTGGATCTGGCAGATGACAATAATCCTATGCTTATAGCCGCATGCTGTAGTCTCCATAATATTTGTGAAGGGAAGGGTGAAAGCTTCACTCAGGGCTGGACTGCTGAGGCTCAGTGCCTGGAGGCTGAATTTAAACAGCCAGAGACCAGGGCTATTTGAGGGGTGCAGCGTGGGGCCATAAGGATCAGGGATGCC